ATAGTTGTGAAACTTAACTTCATTGTGTTTTTTTCTTAAGTTAGAATTGAGCATTTCTCCTGCACAGCCATGGGTGTTACCACCTGGGTCTCAGCCCAACTTGCCAAGTTCATTGTTGCCCCCTGCTGGCTGGGACATTCAGGCCCAGGCCACACTTGACCTTCCAGCCCCAGAGGCCAGCTCAGAAGGCAATGCAGATCTCTCATGGCGTAATGAGTGACGCCAAGCAATGCTTTTCCAGGGTCTGGCCTGCTGCATGTCACATTCTATTATTCCAATACTGGGTAATAATTATCTTCTTTAACCTGTGTCTGTTGTGATGAGCTCCGCCAGAGGTGAATTGTTGGTATTACCTGAATTACAACATGAAGAGATGTTTTTTTTCTGGATGGCTGAGGAAGTTTTTGGCATGCAAGACTTTGTAATGCACCCCCATCTTTGAACCCCAGGATTGCTAGCCCAGGAGTCATGAGATAAAAGGAGAATGTATGCCTTGATCATGAGAGAAGAGGCAGTGGCCAGAAGGGAAAGGTTTCTTTTCACACACAGACGTTTTGAAGTCTCCCTTGATGAACTCTTTAGATCCTGCCCTGGAGACAGGGTGAAATAATGCAGTCCCAGAAGGATTCACAAAACCAGCCTCTAGAGCAGACTCACTAGTGGCCGACCCTTAGTGTTGCCAAACTAGGGCAGCATAGAGAAATAGCACCAAAGAGCTGAGGTCAGGAAGGAACACGGAACACAGGAGAGGAGTGGAAAACTTGGCAAAGACAAAGGGGAACCCAGGCTCCAGGGAAACTTGAAGGCAACTGCATTTAGTTCACCTCAGCAGATTAGAACCAATGAAGAGGTCAAATGATGTGTGTGAAAGCCACAAAACTGTCCCTGTTAGTGCAGTAGCCTCCCTGTCAGAGCCTAGGAAAGTGGCCTGACCTAGTGATGGAGAGGCACAGTTCATGTCCCAGCTTCACTCTGGGACCGAAGACTCCTGTTTATTGACACAACCTTGTAGATCAGTTTTTAATTTTAACTGTGTGGAACAAGAAGCTCAGCAGAGTGGTTAATGTTGTGGGTTCTGGAGCTAAAAATTTTGTCAGTGGTTTTTGGCCTTGGGCAAGCCATATCCCTCATAAAGTGTTTGTTAAAGCATGAACCACTCAGAATAGACTTAAGCATGTAATACACACTCGGCTATTAACTCTTATTTATGTTACTTTAATAAAAGGTAAAATGTAATTACAAATATAAGATGGAAAACGTGATCTTTTCACAGCATGTAAAACAGGCAAAAATAAATGTAGCTGTTATGAATCTCAAACTACAAGCTCAGATGAGCAGAAATGAAAACTATTTTCCTCTACAATTTCAAGCTGTTCTCCTGCCCAGATGGTGGAAGAATTAACTCCTGATTCTTCCAGCTTCCACTCTTTTTCCTAAGGTGGTGTCAAATGCCAAGGCATGTGGGGGAGGGAAGCAGCCTCTGGTCCTCTGCCCACACAGCCTGCGCCCTCGCTGTTCCTGTGCCAGATGTGGCCACAAGAATCTGCCCAGCCTCCCCACAGCAGCCCTGCCTCTCCACAGTCCTTAATGGCTCCCAGTCTGCCCTCCTGAACTCAGAGCTGCCCCAGCCACGGCTTCCCCACCTGCCCACTCTTCCCTGTCTTCTCCGAGATTCCTGGAAGATGTCAGGCCTTTGAACAAAAAGCCAGACTAGTCAACACTCTCTGCTTCACTTCCAACCTGTCTGTCACAACCCTGCAGAAGCCAAGGCATCTTCCTCAGAGAGAGCTCTGTTTGAGAGGAAGCAAAGGAAGAAGAAATACTAGGGAAAAGCACAACTGATGATTACTTCAGAAACATCCTGTTTCAAAAGTTTTAAGAAGGAAGGGACCAGACATGGTGACATGCTTCTGTAATCTGAGCAACTTGAGAGTCAGGCAAGCAGATCAAAAGTTCAAGGCCAGCCTCAGCAATGTAGCAAGACTCAAGGTAACAATGAAAAATTAAAAGGACTAGGGATATAACTCAGTGGAAAAACACCTGGGTTCAATCTCCAATACTGCCCCCCACAAAACAATCCTGGCTTTGATCTGCTGGGAAAGTGCAATAAAGATCAAGTTGTGTATCGTCATATCTTCCACACAAGCCATAAAGAAAACTCACCCCAGTGTCTTGGAGAGAATGGGCTGAACTCAAGGAATGTCTCATACAGAAGCCTTCCCTGAGGGCTGAGCCAGGCTGGGCAGGGTCCACCTACAGTGACCTACTCAGTCCTCTCAAGCACACTGTGAAGCAGACAGCACCCTCCCTGCTGAGATCGAGCATCTTTGAGAGGTTAAGTTGCTTGGCCTGTGGATGTGCAGCTCTGCCTGGAGTCGTGGCCATTTCTAACATTCATGGCCTAACTCTACACACTGAGCCCAAGCCTGTTTCACCTCAGTAGGCCTCAGACTGTGGCTGCAAGGATTTCACCAAGAAATGTCTGGGCAAGAGGTAGTCAGTGTCATTTTGCCTGTACTGTGGGCCACAAGGTGGGGAGGCAGCAATGCCAACCTGATGACATAGGGCTTGCTTACATTGTTTGGCTTAGGACCTTTTGTGTTTCTGGAGTTAAAATTCTGGAGAATGTTCAGGAGTAGACAAGAAGTTCTGAGACCATGAGCCCTCAGGCCAAAAGTACTCACCTGGCTCAGACCTGCTGTTACCATCACAAACATAGAATATTCTAGTGAGGACCATTGAGGACCAGGTGGTATTAAACAGGAATGAGCAAGTCAATGGCGAGATTAAGAAAGAGGAGCCAAAATAGACTGTTTTTAAGAACTCATTTTCTGATAGAAGTGACATTTTGAAATGGTTAGGCAAGAGCCTGGTTAATAAATGGTTTGCTGGCGTCTGGCATTCCACCTAACATGCTCTGCAGCTGTTTTATGCCACCCCCAAATAAGGGCACTTACTAACCTCTCCATAGAGCTTATGGAGAAACCTCCTATTTTATCTCGTTTGAATCTTACACAGTGAAAACTTACTGAAGGAACAACATGGCTTCCAAGATTGAAATTTCAAAACTGAGAATGTTGGCGGGTCATTGGCTTCCTGCCATAACTTTAAAACCCATCAGTAAGTTCTGAGCTCTTCTTGTGCACTTTGTTCAGGTGAAGATCAAAAGAGAATCTTCCTCTAGGTCTTAGAGTCAACCAGTGAAGACCCTCAGGGCTGCTGAGAGCCTGGCTGTGAGTGACTGCCCTCCTGTGACGGGCTTGGAGAAGGAAGCACTCAGGCTGAGACAGCTTCCTGGAGCCAGGTCGTGCAAAGTAGGCTGGATCCCAGCAGGTGGAAAGAGGGTCCAGAAGGGAGGTTGAGGCCAGCAGCTCAAGAGATGCCCCAGATGCCCCGCACCTACATGGCTGGGACATGCTGAGGTGGGTCATCTCTGTCCAGGTCTCAACCCCGACATCTGGGCTCAGTATTTCAAGAAATGGTAACAGCAGGTCTGAGCCAGGTGAGTACTTTTGGCCTGACCAGACCAGAACAGTGGGGCAACTGGTCTGGAGGCACCTGTGAAGGCCAGTTAATGGGCCACAGGTTAAGGATGAGATGAGTTTGCCCAAGGGCCAAATCGGTTTATGGCCATCACCACAGGATTAAAAATGCTGAATCTAGAACACACAGGCCAAACCTCAGAGCAGGACAGGGCTGTCTCTTTAATCCTCACCACACCTGAACAAAACAGTCCTCAGACCAGGTGTGGGCCAGCCCCAGATTCATGCTCATAGCACACAAAGCTTTCTGACCCCTGGAAAGAGTCACCTGTCACTGCATATATAGCCTAGTCAGCATGCTTTCGTAAAAGAACACACACAGGACAGGGATTTGAAGCAACACCTGGTGGGAAGAGAAAACAAAAGTGGAGGCCAGAAGGGGTCTCTCATTGCCCCCAATCCTCCCTTGTGGCCAAGGGCCAGCATGTTCATGTCACTTCCAAACGACGTATGCTGGTGAGGTACAAGGCGGGGAAAGGCAAGGGGGAAACAGGGCCAGATCATGGAGGGCCTTCGAGTTTTGGGCTCTGGATGATATAGGGTCTGAGCTAGGAAGGGCAGTGGCCTGTGTGACATGGGTTCTCAAGGGTCACACTGGCTACTGCAAAGAGAGCTTGCTATCGGGAGGCCACGGGAGATGCAGGGAGACGGGCTAATTCTACATTACTTGTGCTCATCCGGGCAGATGGCTTGAGTTAGCTATTTGATCAGGATGGGAAGGTGAGTGTCCTGGCATGTTGGAGACAAATGAGAAGAGCCACAGGTGACAATGCTTTGGGTCCAAGCAGCTGAAAGCTGGGTGCCCTGCACTGTAAAGAAAGCAGTAGAAGGGGTGGAGCTCCAAGTGGGACAGGTTAAGTTCAGCCCTTGGGCATCCAGAGACTGCACCAGGGCTGAGGAGCTCAGGAGGGTGAGCTGAGCAGCATATTTAAATGTGGACAGTGGCAAACAGAGCATCCAGGGGCCACCTCAGATGTGTAATGGCCCAGAAGCCCTTGGGCCACTAGGCCTGGCTCCTAGGTGGTCTCCCCACTGGCTTTCCTGCTTTCCCTACCCTTTATCTAGGCAGGTCAGAGCCTTGTTCATCATCAATAGCCAGGTGTCCCCTGTCCCCAAGAAAGAGCTACTGCTCAGCATCCCCTGTAGCACCCCTCTTCCCTCTCCCTGAGGGTCTGGCATAGCCAGCATCTGTGCCATTACAGGATCTGAACCACCCCACCCCTCTCATGGAAACACAGTTCTTGGGGACAAAGGAAGCTCTGTCACTGTCACTTTAAGGGGGGAACCCATCACCCAGTGTTAACCACCTCTGGAGGAAGGCATCGGAGAAGGAAGTGGGGCTGGGCTCTGAGGAGCCCCTGTCACCCAGGCTGCTGACAACATGAAAACTTCTTTCAATGAGAAGAGGATCACCTGGGTCATCCCGGCAGCCCCCAGAGCCTGGGCAGCCAGGGACTCATGGCTGGGCCCACGCCTCTGGTCCTGCTCTGGGCACTGCTGACCCTCTGCATCTCTGCAGGTGAGTGGGAAAGCCAGAGAGATACAGAGGCCATGGGGCAGGGACCATGGTCAGTGATCAGTCCACTGATCTTCCTGTCCCTATTCCTCAGGGACCCCCGAGGTGTGGGTGCAAGTCCAGATGGAGGCCACTGAGCTCCCAACCTTCACTGTCCGCTGTGGGTTCCTTGGGTCTGGCTCCATCTCCCTGGTGACCGTGAGCTGCGGGGGGCCTGATGGTGCTGGAGGAACCAGTCTAGCTGTGTTGCACCCAGAATTTGGAACCAGGTATTAGGCCCCTGTCCGCCAGGCCCACTGGGAAACCAAAAGCAGCATCTCCCTCACTCTGGAAGGGTCAGCGGCCAGAAGCCCTTGGGCCAACACCACTTTCTGCTGCAAGTTCATTTCCTTCCCCAGTGGCTCCCAGGAAGCCTGTGGAGACAAAGGTGGGACTGGGGAGAGGCCTGTGGCACAGGGAGGGCCTAGGCACTGGCTGCCCATCTGACACCCCTGTCTCCAGGACTCCCGGCTCCCTCTCCAGCCCCCATTCTTCGGGCAGACCTGGCCGGGATCTTTGGAGCCTCAGGGATCCTCCTGTGTGGCTGCATCTTCGTCCTACACTTCATACATCGGCAGAGGCATCGGTGAGAACCAGTCCAGGCTGTGTCCCTGCATCACTGGGCTAGTGACACTCTGCCTCTGACCCCTCTTCTCCTCCCAGGTCTGTCGCTCAGCTTCAGCCACCCCTCTCCAGTGCCTGGGCCCAGAGGAGAACTCAGGTGAGACTTGGGGGAAGCTCAGGTGAGACTTGGGAGGAGAGGCTGGAGCTAGGCCTGGGAATGGAACCCTATTTGACCCTCTTTCCATTGTCCACAGGCCACCAGCCAAACCTCCCTGAGCAGTCTCCACCTCCCCAATACCCCCACCACCCTCTGCCCAGCAGCTCCGAACATGGGGCACCCCCACCAGCGACTGTCCCAGTGGGCATTGCTCCCCATTCACACTGCATGCCAAACCCAGGTACCTGTCACCCGTGGGTCCCTGCTGGCCACTCCACACAGCAGTTTTATCTCTGTTGAGAATGGACTCTATGCTTGGGCAGGAGAGAGGCCTCCCTGCACTGGCCCCAACCTCAGCCCTTCCCCTGACTCTTTGGGGCCCAGGGTCATGGAGGGGTACTCGGGAGTTTGATGAGAGAGGTTCCAGGTCAGTTTGGTCTCCCTTCCCAGGCCTCGGGGACCCCTTTCTGCTGCGTATCTGTGTCCCAGGCACCCGCTATTTTTTCCACATCATGTTTTATTCTTAACCTTCTAATAAGTGTCTCACAAACCTAGCCAGGGCCCCCCTCGATGCGGATGTGGTCAGTGTGTGTGCACATGTGGGCACAGGTGTGGGTATGTGTAGTGACAAAGTCCCACTCCAGGTTACTTCCTGTTTTGTACATGTCACCTTCAGGCGATGTCAGTAACTGTCAATAAAGCAGTTCCTCTGACTTGGTCTTGGCTGGTCTCTTCTTATTTGGGGGGCTAAGGGATTAGAGGTACTTTCAACCTCTGGGAGGTAGAAGCCAGAAGGGGACAGTGGCTCAGCATGGAGGCTGGAGGGGTCTCCTGGCTTGCGGACCTTACTGAGATAAGAGAATGAGGGTCTGGGAAGATGGATTGGGGGTTTGTGACGCCCTGGATGGACCAACTCAAGCCCCACCACACTGGCTGCTCTCTAGGGCAGAAGCAGGAATTTCTGGGCTTCAACCTGAAGCAGGTCTCTATGGTCTGACCTGCCTCCCTAGGTCAGATGCCCCGGGTGGCCTGCGGTGAGACCCTGGTGCCTTCTTCTACTGAGCTGAACTTCAGAGGCAGGGGAGGGGGAATGTTTGGGGAGACCTACCTCAGCTCCCCACAGTCACATCCTCCAGGTCCTCCCCTATTACCAGGGCACCAGGCACTGCTCCCGAGTGGCCACTTGGGCAGGCAGACAGGCCTTCACAGATGCAGAGACTGAACACAAGCTCAGCTACCCTTGAACTGTCCCACCCAGGGGCCAACCTGGGCCTCCTCAGGCCTTCACAATGGTGAGAGTGCTCTGTAAGCTGCAAGTCTCCCAGGAGCATGACAGTTTCCCTATGGCAAGGGGCAGTATGTCCCTGAACCCCCAGCCAGGGTGAATGCTAGTGGGGGCACCTGCACAGGATCCCGTCCTTGGAGCTGCTCAGTAGGGTTGGGGGTCCCAGGCAGTGCTGGCTGCCGGCCTCTCTCTGCTCAGGGAGGCCTGCCCAGAGGCTGAGTCCAGCCATAGCTTCTTCCAGGAGGCCAGCTCCCTGCTCAGGCTTGCTCTGATGTGGCCCTCCCTGGACCAAGCCCTATCTAGCCCCTGGCCCCACACTGCTGGGAAGTAGGTGGTCAGGCTTACCCTTCTCCACAGGATGTTATCTTTTCCTTCGGGAAGCCCTCAGCACTGGCCCAGACAGTTCCATGGCCCCTCCAGGGCTGGGAGTTCAAGGGAGAGAGGAAAGGGCTACAGAAGAGGTCCCTCACAGGTCCCTAAGAGGGAGGACCTGGTAGGGAGATATCTAGCGGGGAGGGAGTCAGTTAGGGCCCAGCAGCCCTGAACCTTGTCCAAACCTGGGGCAGGAGTGTGGGGCCATTATAGGGCTTGTGGGGTCTCACAGGAAGCTTAGGTCTCACACTTATCGCTCTTGAAGTAGATAAAAAGGGTTGAGGACACCTAAGGGGCATGAATACTGCCAACAGCCTAGTCCCAAGCACCAGAATGCTTTGCTCTCCAAGATAGAAGTGAGAGGGGAACTCTGAGGGCTTCCCCAGCCCATGGAGTCAGGGAGAACCCCCTGGCCTGGGAATGGCTTCCACCAACTCAAGGCCATACGCAGCCTGAACCCCATGGTGCTCAGAGCTGAACACCTGGGGACCCAGGAAGTCTTCCCATAGCCAGTGGCTCCCCACTCCCCATTCCAAGTGCCAGAGTCAGCAGCACACAGAAAGGCCCCTGAGAGCTGAATGGTACATGCATGGTGCTCTGGGACAAGCTGGACTACAGACCCAGGGTCAGCAGTCCGCAAATCCCTTTTGCTGAGCCCTGTCCATTCAGTATATGAGGGCTGAAAGGTGACCCACACAAAGGGATAGAACTGAGGCTAAGACCTCCACTTCCTCCCTCCAGCTCCCCAGGTGTCCAGGAGAACGCCTACCTTCCTGCCATACCCATAAAGTTTCAGCCTGACCAGACCTGGGTTTAGATCCCTGGTCACTCCCACTCGGTGACCTGAGTGGCTCACCTAACCTCAGGAGACACTTGTCACTCTTAAAGTAGATAAAAAGGGTTGAGGATGCCTAAGGGGCGTGAGGACTGCCAGCAGCCAACTCTCAAGCACCAGACACTCTGCCTGGACTGGCTTCATCAGGATGCAGCCACCCAGGGAGTAGGCATTTTCAAAAGAGCCATTGAACAGATGAGAGCCTGGGGTCCAGAGAAGCTCAGGAACCTGTGCAGGGTCACAGCACTGAGAAAGGGCTTTTGGGGGAAAGACACTAAACTGCATGCTGCTTCCAGGTAGGCAAAGGCTGCAGCCAGCTGGCTGGGTCCTCCGGAGGTAATAACAAGGACCACAAGATGGCACTTTATCTTGGCTGCACGTCTTCACTAGGCCACCACCACCACCAGGTGGCGAATAACACTGTTACAGAGGGGCCAAACAGTCCCCAGAGGGCCAGAGTGCGAGGGCCCAAGACACCAGGCCCCAGCGAGGTCCCAGCCTTGGATGCCCTGATGCTAGGAGGAAGGCTGGCAGGGATAGAATGTGACCTTCCTGCATCCCTGACCTGACTCCACAGGCTCACCCTCCCCTTGCCACAGGCTAGCCTAGCAGCCCACTCTGGAGGCCAGGGCCAAGTTCAGACCCCCAGGCCACCCCCAGCCACTGCTGGGGACTGCTGCCTGCCCATCAGCTACCCCTTCTGCCAATACAGGTCACGCTGGTTCCACAGGACCTGCCCACCTGATCATCTGCCTGAGATAACCCTGAGCCCTCTCACTCAGCCCAGCCCCTACCACTCTCAGTCTCCCAGTCCTTGTCTTCCACCCCCCTCCAACCCTGCTCTAAAAATGTCATCAGTTTACTGATGGCTGGAATCCTCCTCCCCATTCTAGTCCCTCTGCCTGTCCCCTATAGCCCAGAGCCAGCCCAGGCTGCAATTCTGCCCTATCCTTTCCCTTCCCACCTACTCTGATGGAGTCCCTGGCCCTTCCCTGGGCCACAGCCCAGCAGCCCAGTTCCTGCCCTCCAAGTAGCCCCTGCCCAAGCCCTCTTGGCTGCAGGTCCTCACCTGCCACCAGCTTGTACCAGCCCCCAAGCCCTCCTTCCCCCACTAGCTGGCCCCTCCAGGGGATCATCCTGGAAGAGCTGCAGAACTAGGGACTACAACCATGAGCCGAGCATGTGATATCAGGCCAATGACCAGCCCTGAGGGTGTCTACCACTGCCCTGCGCTGTCCTTGGGGCCTCAAATCTGGCTCTGTGGAATCCAGCCTACTCACAAAGTAGCCAGGAGATCTCAATAGTGAGTGGCAGGGGACAGAACCTTTGAAAAACAAATCTGACTGAGGCAAGTGTGGGGGTAAGGGGCACAGTCAGGTGGAGATGCAGGGGACACCAGAGGGTAGAGGCCAGGCTGGAGGTGGAGGAACCTCCCAAGGAAAAAACCACCGGCTGTGCCCCTAGTCTCAAGACACAGACAAATGCTCAGGACATTAGTCTGTTGGCACAACCATGGGGTGGTGAGGTGCCAGAGGTCCAGAATCTCAGGTTCCAGCCAACCCCTGAAGGAAGGGGGTCAGGGACACATGGAATTTCCATGGAAATTTGTTTCCAAAAAAGGCTTCATTTCAGAATCTGGGAAATACAGAAAGTGGGGCCGCCTGGAGGAGAGTCCAAGGTCTACTTCTTGCTAAGCCACTGACTATTGGAAGGGCTGGGGGCAGGGATTGAAGCCACAGTAGCCTCACCCTCTGAAACAGAGTCACATTAACTACCACAAGAAAAAATGGGTAGGAGAGAACTACATGAGCCTGGCCCTGCCCAGCCCCCACCACACTCGCTCCCCAGAAGGGCAAAACTCACATTCAAGACAGAGGTGTCCAGCTGTGATTTCCAGACAAGAGGGGTACCTGTCCCCAAGATAGCAACATCCAGGATGGCAGCCAATGGGGAGGAGCATGGGTGGTGGGGAGAAAGAGGAAACCAACCTGTCAGATGGCCTCAGAGGCTGGCCAGCAAGGCACCTGGCAGGGGGCTCATAAAGGGAAGGAACAAGGCCCATCGATGCTCTGCCCCAGTGGCCCTGCCAGCCCCTTCCCCACCTCCTCCTGCAGAAATGACTACTACTTCCAAGGTACCAGGCACAGGGCTGGGTGCCGGGAGACTGGAGGAGGCAAGTCAGGTCTCCTGTGGTCTATGTTCAAGTGGAATGTCAATGAGCAGACCAACAGCATTGGAAATGTCCTAAGGAAAAGGGGGAATGATGGGGCATCTCTGGAGCAGATGAAATTCCAAACAAGCCCTGGAAATTGGCGGGAGGAGCCTAGGCAAAGACTGGGGAGACCAGGGGAAGTCCTGGGCAAAGGCTCAGAGGCCCGGAGGGGCTGGGCATTGCCAGGGTTACAGGAAGTCAGTGTGTGTGAAAGGAGAGCAAAGGGGAGGGAGCAGGAAGTGCAGAGAACCTGCTCCTCCCAGCAGCCATCTGTCAGGCTAAAGGGCTGC